ACTTTCTGCCCAGTTTGACCCATTTAGCAGAAGTCAGCCTGTTTAAGGCTCTGATATCTATTCTGTATGACTTAAAGCAGTTATGACATGGTCTGATTTTCTCACCCAATAAAGGAATATTTCATATATCAGTCTACTCTTCATTTTATCAGAAAGTTTTCACAGCTCGTACATTTTTTTAAACATATGTAAGCATTAAGCCAAATGTAATGTAATGCCAACATATTAAATGAACAATATGTCTTATATATAATGTATCTATATATACACTGTTAAAGATACTTGTTTTTGAGTGAAGATTTAAGGTGATAGGCAATATAAATAACTGCAACTTGAATCTTTGACCCAGAGATCAAGCTCACTGCTGTAATATCTCTATATAGATATATATACATATCTAGATATATCTATATCTCTCTATATATACACCTATCATAATCTGACAATAAAATATAATATTGGCCATATTATATTTACATTACCAAAGTGACATGAGTTTAGTCTCAAGAACAACATTAGTTGATTGTTATTTACTAACTAATCTTGAAATGACTGTTCAGTACAGAAATGAAGTCCAACAATCATGTTTTACAGTCCTGTGGTCTCAGCCTCAGATACTCAACTAATGTGTAGTGTGTTTGACTACCCTTAAAAAAAATAGAAAAGAAAAGAAGCTGGGAACAGGGATTTCTGAGGTCAACCATGTGGACAATCTGCTACATGTATCTGCCATATCTGAATTTTGTTAGTTTCAATTTGTTGGTAATTTAAGCACATTCAAACTGACTTTGTACATTTCTGCAACGCAATAGTTTATAACCTGAACAAGCTGACTTTAAAGTCTGTGTTGAAGGGAACAAATAAAGCTGAACTAGGGGTCAGTCAATTTTCCTTCAACCTAAGTTCTTAAGAAAATACCTTCATTTTTTTTTTTTAAATAACAGGAAAACTCAAATCATCCTGAAAAAGAACAAACAACAAAAAAATCAAGTAACCTCCACACCCAACAGTAAAATGCTGCCCCCTGGTGGGGAGAGCTTGGAATTCCATAAAGAGTAAATGCCTTAAGAACAGGTACTTTGTTTCAGTGAGTGAGCTGGTTTAAAAAGAAACTGATTATATTTTGTTATAATGGGAAGTTGCTGCCAATATTGATTATAAAAGTTGACATTTAAATATCAAAATTTGTTTTTTGTTTAATAAACCTTACCGTCCAAAAGAATCTCAATGTATTCGAGTGTAACCAATTAAGCTATAGTGCTGTTAATTTCATTTACAAACCCCAAAGAATAAAACTTGGATACGACAATAATAAAATACTTAAATAAATTTCCATTAAATCGCAAGACCAAACATTTTCACTTTAGGATTGCTTACCATTTCTAAACCACTGGAGTAGCTGTAGTTGAGTAACAAGACCAGACAAATTTTAATACCTTTAATTTATATTGTGCAAGTTGTACAGAGATGTTGCTGTTCCATGTAGAAGGAAAGTACAACAATTGACACAATTCTGGCTGACTAGGTCTCTTAAACTGTGCAATTCTGAAATATCCAATCACAACACTACTCTTGGTTAAATGGAATATATGGCTTCTGAGTCATCTATACAATGAAGGGGAAGAGACAAGGATCCAACAGTTGCACACAACCAGTTCTGATCACACTGAGCGAATAAAACTAAAACCAATATTTGTCAGCAATTTGCCTGTATAAGTGTGTAGCATTAAAAGTTGCATTTGACAAAAGCAACATATCTCTTGCACTTGGTCCTTAAACTTCAACCGTGGATGTGAAGTCGGCAACAAAAGCATCGATGAGAAACGCAATCTAAAATATTTAAACAGGGAAAAGCTTTTTTTTTTTTTTTTTTAAAAAAAATTCCCTTTTCAAAACACTAGCTTCTTGTGGTAATAAAAAAGGTAGCACACATTGAATCTTAGCTATTATTTCTGCATTTTAAGCGACACATTAAAATTTAGTGGTAGGTAACAAAATGCAAAAAAGACAAGAAATGGTGGTTGTTAAGGCAAAGTGTAAAACTCTGCTAAGGGAGGTTTGTGGTGGTGAAGGGACCGAACATGTGAATTCAAATGCCCTTCATTATTTTATATTCAGAGTGGCAGTGATTCATTAGGATCAACACAACTGCTCGGATCCTCTAACTGTATGTTGGTTCGATTTATAGGTCACCATTTCAGATCGGAGAATATAAAACCAATGACTGATAACTGAGGTCAGTGCAGGAAGCATCGGCATTAACAGAAAATAACCACAAACTACGCATTCCTCATGTGAACACTAATGATTTTGCAACAACACACATACACACGTGGCTAGAACAGCATTTAAAAACTCATGCAATATTTGCCCCATAGTCTCAAGCAGAAATTATTTCACGCCATGTTCTCTGGCTGCACAATATGGAGAGGGATATAGAAGAAACCAAACCAAGAGGAAATCATATTCTTTTAAACATTAAACACCCAAGCACAAAAAGGTACTTAAAATTGCAAGGTGCACAGTATATTGTGCCACACAGCAGCTGAATCCTGGAGTGTCGTCTGGACATCCATCTATGCAAGGGGGAGGAAAGGGGGGAGAGAAACTTTTATTTTTATTTATTTTTTTAAAAATATCTCATTCCTTACAAATAAATTTGCAGACACAGACTAGCCCACAAAATGCATTATTAATTTTAACAATTATATCAACTCACCTCTTTCAGCTTTTAGTTAGAGTTCCTTTGCCTCACATTCTTGTCTTTGTGGTTTGCATTAGAATTGCTCTTCCTGAAACACATTTAACAAAATGAGCTCCAACAGCAGCAAAACCTTTTGTCAATTTTATTGCTATAGCACATTTAAAAGCAACAAAGTTGACCACAGTGTTTCACAAGGTAATTATCAAAGATTTCACTTACAGAGGAGCAGCTCCTGAGTCATCATCTGGACAGCAAAACAGGATCAATGACAAATGGAAAAAAAACAAAAACAAAGTTAAAATGTTTTATCTCTGATTGGTGTGAGAAACCCACGCCATCCAAAGCCCACAATGATAGTAGCAAACGTTTTAATCGGTAACATGACTGCAATGGTGTTATGATTAAATCCAACTAAACACAAATAGAAGCATGCCCACCTGTTGCATTTCTGACATTTACATGAAACCCATTTAACAATTACAATCATTTGTTCTTACTCATATCATATAATGTGGCTTTTGGCAAGTCGTGTAACAATGTTTAACGTGAACATTTTTTTTTGCACTGGCTCTACTCCCCCCTTTGTATCACAGAGGCTCATGCAATTCAAGCAAAGGAAGACCAAAGGAACACAACAGTGCACTGCTGTGGTAACAACAGTAAACACCTTTAAAAAGTGGCAAAGCTAACACACATCCTTGTATGTCCTCTGGCCATATTCACACCCGAACAGCATGTATTCACAGTATGGCAAAAAAGTAGGCTACCTCTGCAGCCAAATGATGAATGACACAAATGGTATATGACATACTGATCTTGAGAAGGTTGCCTATTATATATCATGCATATAGTACAAGATGCACAAAGCATGCAGACAAATAGTTGAGACCTCTTTTCAACCTACCCAAATTCATGTCAAACCATTAGAGTAGTTTAAGTGTCTCATTTGACTCTTTCATTGGCTCAAACACACGTGTTTAAAAACCAAAACAAAGTGAAAGAAATATTTGAAGCTTGCGCTGTAAGATTAAGGGCCAGTGAAAGAGTGAACAAGTCTTTGAGCGCATTCCTCTTAGAAGTGGTTACTATGAAAGCAGTTCATTCAGACTCCCACTGCCTTTTCCACGCGGTCATCTCAGTTCAACCACTTCAGTCTGACATGCAGTTTTGTTCACTTACCAAAATGCAAAATCAGCAGCGAACAGAGAAGTAAAAATGTAAATAATAAAAAAATAAAATAAAACTTCTAACACAGATTTTTTACACAGTGGTGGCAGCTATTTCCTGATCTTTATTTTCAAAATAAAAAAAATAATAGTTAAAAAACAAAAAAAACAAACAAACAAAAAAAAATTAAACTACATCCTGCATCTCTCCATAAAAACCAGCACGTTGCTTTCATAGTCTCAAAGGGCATTCAATTTTCTGATCTCATTGCTTAGTACACTAGGTCTACAGTTTGAAGTGTTCTGGTTTTAATTGTAATTAAATGACTTATGAAAAAGAATAAGTCTTTCCCGCAAAAAGAGGAGCTGCAGGTTGACAAACAGCCGGTAGCTGGTATTACACAAAAACTATGGAATAATAAAATGGTATGTAGTTTTTTCTACCAAGAAATCCTAATAATATCAAAATGGCCCAGAAGGTTTTGGAAGTCACCAACTATTGCAGCCAACTGGCAAAGGTACTTGTGAGGATTATGCTGATATTTGCAAGGGAACTGTTGAAATCCCAGCATTTTCTTCATTGCTAAAAATCAAAGATGAAGGCAGTGTTGCATCATTGTGCTAATTGCAATTTTAATATGAACTAAATAAGGATGTAATGAGTGGTGTAAGGGACATAGCATACATACCGTCATTGACCTCATCAGGCTTTCTCCTCTTCTCATAGATAAAGATTATCGTGACAAGGATGATGACCTCTGCCACGATGCCAAGGAAGGGCCAGAGAGCAGCCAAGCGACTGCGGACACGCAGGTTGATTTTGTCAGTAGCTACGCCGAGGTCGTTGCTTCCAGAGCAAATGTAGTGCCCGAGGTCACTTTCGATGCTCAGGTTGTTAATGGTCAGACTGGTCTTGTTGGGGGTATTCTTGATCTCATATTTGTCGGTTCCATTGGTGATACTCTGAGGGTTAATGAGTAACAAAGTGGTTAAAACCCAAAACGTGTTTGTCATTCACTGGCAAACTAAGCCAGAATTATGCACAGTTTAGTGAACTGGAATATGACCATATCTACAGTGAAACATTAAGACTGCTGATGATAATGAGGGTTTTTTTTTTAATATAATCATAATGCTCAGGTATGCACTGTGAGAGCTTGTAGAAATTTCAACTTGAGACAATATTGACTAAAGTGTTAGTGAACATTAATATCATTCTGAGTGTGACAGAAACTCACAACTTGGGGTTCCTCGTCTTTCTGTTTGAACCAGAGCCAATCAGTAGGTAGTGGATATCCATGACTCACACAGACCAGCACAACTTTGTCATTTTCATTGCCGTGCTCAGAGTGCTTGTAGGCAGCGACATGGGGAAGTGCTACAACAAAAATAGACACATTGATTCAAACTACAATATGACAGTAAACAATAGATTAAATAACCCCATCACTGGGAAAGAAGCCATTTCACATAATTATTATAGGACACCTAAAAACAGAAAGCAATACATCATTTAAAATGCTCTCAGACTTATTTAAGTTCTTCAAATAATTCTGTTATGTGGAAACTGATTTTTCCCCTCACATGCAAGTAACATCCACCCAGTTTGTAGCTCCAACAATATAGATTTTTTTTATAGAAATAATTGTGTTAATTATGGTGAATATTAGCAAAGCACAATCATCAACAAACATCATCGAAATGGTCAGAAATAACAGGAAACGTGTATTCACTCCCAACCTGCAAAGCTTCTCTAGAAGTCAGGGAGGAGAAAAAACAACAACAACAAAAAACAAAAAAAGCCCACCACTACACAGTTAATGTCAATTTCACATTCAGTATGACAGCATGGATTCATGATAAAGACCCTTTGACCATTCACCAGAGCACAACATAACGTAACACCACATGATTCCTGTAACCTAAACCAATAGTTCGAGATATTGCAATATAGTACAAGTCTATATTTTTAATCTGCAGGGTATTATTTAAAAACTATTTGAAATTGAACAAAAATGTTAACTTATCTCTGAAAACATCTTTGATATGCAACTCTCTACTTACTTCTGACTTCAATGGTCTGCTTCACTTCTGGATCAGTCAAGAACACGCATTCATACTTTCCACTAGTGGTATGAGTGATCTTCTCCAATCTATGGGAAGAAAAAGAATCATTTATTTGAGAATAGTTTAACAAGCTTTGTTTTTTCTTTAAGACATTAGTAGCCAACAAGTGACTTGGGACCACTGCTGAAACCCCTTTAATGATGGCGATTAGTTTTCCACTTGGCCAAGTAGAAAATTCACAATAGATCTCCATTTACACTCAAGAGCGTGGTAAAACTAAAGCTGCTTATCCACCCAGCAAATATTTCATATTTTCCCCCTTTATTACAATCGACCTTTTGTTTGGTGCTACTATCCTGTACAATCCTGCATTCTATCTCCAATGGGGAATTAAGGTCAAGCAAAGTGAGCACACAGCTTTCACGGCTGCCAAGACTACCAGTAAAGCTGCACGTCTATGCAGTCCATCTCTCTGCTAATCAAGAGCAGTGAAATGCCTGTATGGTGCCCCTAGCTCTGCTGCTAAAGCCAAAGAGAAAGTAGTGAGAGGGGGAGATCGTAGACAAAGATGAGAGAAAATGAAGGCTAGCAAAAGGCATGTATACCAAACATAGCACTTTTTTAAAGACACAGCAATGGTAAATATTTACAAGCCAATTATACTCAGCCAATCATTTTAGTCACTCAGTGTTACTAATTAGTTAAATATGTCTGGCCCACAAAAGGCCTCTGTTGGAAAAGGTCTCTTGCTTTACCAGATTATGGTAAACAGCATAATATTCTGCAAGACCAGCAGGACAGACCTGCCTACATGGCACATGGATGCTTTTTTTTGCTTACTTGAGGGTAGTGTGATGCATGTTGTCATCCTTTTTGGAGTTGTCAATGATTTTGCCATTAAAAGTCCAGTGGGAGCCCTTACTGAACATGGTGGCATCTGTGAGGTTGCAGCTGAGCACAGCAGAGGTTTGGTTGGTGACTTCAGAAGGTTCAGTGCGGATGTTTGGTGCTTAAATTGAGTAAAGAAAAAAAATTGAACATAACACATTATTTATAAATATACCAAGTAACAAACAACATTGGCTTCAAATGCATCATTGCCACTAATTGGTTATAAGATACAGTTACAATTTACATTTTGATCTTGACACTCAACAGCTGTCTTTAAAAGAAAAAAATCTATTTGACACAATGACATCACAGGGAGGGAAAATAATAGAAAACATCTTCAAAAGAAAAAAAATTATACACACCCTGTGAAAAATTCCCTGTGGTTCTGTTGGATTATTCTAAAGAGTCAAATAACTCCACATCTCAATTTAGGCTACAACATAAAAATGTTGTAGAAATTCCATGTATATGACAATCCTATGTGCACACTCACCAATGAGCAAGGAGTGGAAAAAAAATTAATAAATAAAAATATTAGAAAAAATACTTTAAAATTAAATGTAGAGGCAAACTATCCGACTTGCCTACTAGCCTCAATGTTGTCAGGTACACATTTATGTGTCATTTTTGCCAAGACAATTGTTGAGTGTTGATTGGTCAAAGAAAAATCCAATGATTTCCAACTAAGCTTTAACATGTTCAAACTAGTTTAAAGAGTAATAAGACGGGAGAAATAAAACAAAACATGATGACAAATAAACCATGAAAACAATGTGACACACGCACAAGTTCTATACAGGTGCACAGAACTTTCTGAAAAAGGTGGAGAGCTCCCCTCCTGGGAGGGAGAATGGGAATTATACTGGAAAGGTAATGAGCTACAGAAAGGTCATGGGGAAAAATTATTTCATGCAGAAGAAGCAACAGCAATAAAAACTTTAACAGCCAATTGTGATAATGGTGAACTAAAGATGTTTAAAATGAAGCTCCAATTGGATAAAGCAACATTACTCCAAGTTCACAAAAAAGAAAATAAATAATTAATACTGGGCCACAAGGCAGAAAGATGCCCCATGGCTGAGAATCCATTTTTACAGTTGGTTGCCATCTTCTGTACCTACTGTTCAGTAGGCTATAAGCCACAGGGATGGTCTACAAGCATGAACAATAGGGGCATTGCCAGTGTTAGTACCAATTAAGGAAAATGCTAGCAAATTAAATCTCTAACAAGAAGCAAAGCTAATCTGACGCCCCTTTTTTGGTTTTGATTATAAATAGTTAAACCAATCAAATATTACTTTGTTCATGTACAGTAATAATCCTGAAGGAGCCATTTGCATATTTCCAACCTTATGACCAGTATTATATACAAGAAAACCTATCATAATACTACCCAAGCCTTAAATCGAGAGGGGAAAAAAGGCATCAGATTGAACATATGTACTGTGTCAGATAATACAGGGTTAGGGAGCTATGGATGTCATAAGACGAGGTTCATGTTCTACTAGGGAACAACCTTGGACCTTCTCAGGAAAGGAGGAGGAGTGTGTTTACTGGGTGAAGCAGGATGGAAAGCTCTGGTCCGGGAAACACGGCAGAGGTATGTAACAGGAGATTAATGTCCGGGACTTAACTAATGAGGAGGTAACAGTCATCTACTTTGACTGGGGGGGTCTCCTCAGGTTCACTCTGCCACTCACTTTCAATCACAATAACGTTTGCCTGCGAGCGGATCCACTTGATTTTTGGCGTCTTCTTCAGTTCATTGCGGTCAGGGTCGTTGGAAGCGCGGCACTCATATGTGCCAGAGTCTTCAAGGGTCAGGCTAGTGAGGTGAATGGTGCTAGTGGCATGTGCTATATATGTGGCATTTATTTTCACACGGTCGTTCCGTGCCCCATCAAACAGCTGAGTAAAAGTCTCATTTGGCTCCTCGCCCTCTACAAACCACCACTGCACCTCAGGAATAGGGTTCCCTACAACCTCGCAATGCAGCTCTCCACTGTCATTGGTTAGCTTCATCTGAGACAAAGGGGACTTGATAAAACCCGCTGAGCACAGTTTTAAAGTAGGCCCAGCAAACAAATTGAACATTTTTGAATGTGATGGGGTTAAAGCAAACCAAATGATTTAATGAATTGATGGTAGAGTGCCATGGTGAAAAAGCAAAGCAGGAAAGAGAAAGAAAAACAGTTAATACACAAATGAAATAAAAACATGAAAGTAAGCACACACACACAGAAGAGAAAAAAATAAAACAGATCAGAGCATCATGTTCACCCAATTTCTGCAGAAATGTTTGTAATCATTTTTGTCCTCTTATTAATGCTGGGTAGATTAATGAAGACATTGATATCCAATATAAGGTCTGTAGGTTCTGACTAGCTTGTATTGACTGGGCTGGCTCTAGGGGAAATAGAGACAGTATAACACCAACTTAAGCTAATCAAGTTTTAGATAACTGTTACACTTAATCTTGTGTCCATCTAGAGATTTAACCCTTTGGGGTGCCCAGACGCACTGGCGTGTCCAAAACACATGACCAATTTAAGATGAGGAACAAGCAACAAGATGCAGCCACTCTGAGTCTCCATTTAAACTTATGTTGAAAAGACTTCACTATATACAAGTTGTTAAGTTGTGTTGATAGGCTAGATAAAGTGAAAGAGCAGTATCAAAAGCTAGTTTTGAGACGTGAAAGATTTGTGACATTTGGTGTGTTTGCAGTATATAGTTATTGTGTACTTTACTCGTTTGTTTCGTTTTCTGTCTCAAAACAAAGAGGACACTAGTGAATGCCAAAGTTGCTGCCAAAAAGCCCCATAAAGGCAGATTTCAATGCAAATCTGTCTCCAGGTAGAAAACAGGAATGAATGAAACACCTTCTGTTGTCAAGCTGGCAGGTTTGTGGCTTGTGATATGTTCCTGTGCTTGTGGTGGACAAAAAATATCTTGTGGGGGTATCACATAGGGCTGGGCCATATCATACCGTTCATGGTAATACCGGTATAATGTCGGGCAACGAAAAAAAAAATAATGAAATATTGCGATAGAATATGGGTAAAACGTGCATGCGCAATGCCTTTGTTTTCATACGCACATGGTGGAAAAAGTGTGCCGGTGACAGAGAATGAGAAAGCGGATCGTTGAATGAAACGGGTGAACCAGAATTGTTTTGTAAAAATGCTGCAAATTCAGTGGTGTGGAACTGGTTTAGCTTTCGTCCATCAGATACACAACAAAACACTATTTTCGGTGGAGAATGCTAGCGGGCCGTCATTATTACTGTGTTTTTCAGAAAATACGGCACACTTGAAATCAATCCTTTGATTTTTCTGAAAATCGACAGTGCCCCTTATAATCCCGTGTGCTTTATGTATGAACTCTGGTTGTGTTTACTGACCTCGAAACGATTTTATGTACACGGCGCTCGAAAATCTGTCAAATGTTTTAGTACGACTTTGCTAAGCTACGAACCCGCACCGCTTGATGAATTGTCGGAGCGTTGAGGCTATCGTAGGCAGGAGCCTCGCGGAGTGATACGTACTGTGCTTCAGCATAATATTACCGTATTGTGTGTGTATAAACTCTTTTTTTTGGATATTTTTTGGAAAGTTCTTTGGATATTATACATGGTTATGCTGAGGATATGTCAGCCAATTTCTACTGGCAATGCCTTTTGGTTAAACTGTCAACAAGGAATTTGCATTTACACTGTTAACTTTTTATATAAATTTAATGCACACAAAAAAACAGCTGCTCAAAGACGTTGGTTTTTTTTTTTGTTGCACAAATAAAGTTGTGGAGTTGTTCAGTATTTTGTCTAGTGTCAATTATATCGTTATCGCAAATTTTCAAATGTATATCGTGATAAATATTTTTGGTCATATCGCCCTGCTCTAGTATCACAGATAATTTGTGTGGCATCTTATTATGACGCCTAATTGTTCTGTAATTTAAATTTCTGTAACAGTTTTAAATGGTTGTACACAAAAAAAGTCTTTAAAATTTGTTATACATTTTGCATTAAAAGTAAAAATAAATAAAATTTCCTACTTGGATTTTATGTCTTTGTGATTTTTAGATCAAGTAAAGTAATGTTAACCAAGGCAAGATAAATAGTTTTTAAATGTGAAATATAAAAAGGTAAAATCAAAAGTAGTCAAAAACAGCCAATTACACCCTGGGTCCCAGAGGGTTATTAACCAATTTGGGTAACTTTGCATGTATTCACACAGGCTCTGTGTCGAGCATGAGCAAAGTCCAGTTTGTCTGATTAGTGAAATCCCTGCCATTGTACTTATAGCATGATTGCTAACCATTAATGCTTCCTTTCAGCTACATTTAAGGAAAATTATTTAATTAAAAAGAAAAATCTCTGATAATGCTTTGAGGGACACTGTGTCACCGCTTTCAAAAACATCTAATGAAGCTACAAAAAGCATAAAATTATGACCCCCACTGTGCTATGAAAGAATGCTTTTCCCAAGTATGTGATCTCTCAGTCACACTGCCAAGAATGGCTGACAAAGGTAGGTGCAGACAACTGTTAATGATCCTTCAATCCTTGAGGCCAAAGGCTGTGTTTCCATCATTCTGGTGGAAGCTGAAATGAACTGTGACCATGTCTAGGCTTTTGAAATGGGGGTCAAACTGCACCACTGCAAAGGAAAGACTTGGGCTTCATTTTTACAAAATTTTGAAATGTGATTTTTTTTAGCCATATCTCCAAGATCTAATTAGGGCAAATAGGGATGACCAAGCTGATGTAAAGCCAAGCCACAGCCAAACAAATTTTCTGTCATTTTTTTTTTAAATTATTGTCTGGAAGACTGCTGAAATGTGTTGAAATAAAATTTAAGTCCTTTTTGTATTTTCCATTTGTTTTTGATCAATCTAATTTATAGGATTCATTGCTCTGTTTGTTAATATCAAGTGCAGTCTTTGTAATCCAGTTGTACACTGGATTACATAGACTAAATGCCAGTGTTAAGTATTAGCAGTTACACAATACCTTGGAA